CTGGCCCTGCCAAGGTATGCACAGAGATGCGGAACTTGAAATTCCGTAAATGTACAGTTGGCGAATTTTTAAGTTGATGATTTTGTATGACACGGCCCCTGGCAGAATCAGTGTTTCCCAGCACTGTGTGTAAATGATGGTGACTGCCTTGCAAGTCCACGCTGTAGTCACACCGTGGGCACAGCACGTCTGCCCCTCACCGCCCCACCCTCAGTGAGTGATGCTCAATCCAACCACCACAGAGCTTCCAGAGGATTCTTCCTAGAAAAGACAGCTGAGAAATGCGCCGTTTCAACTGTCCTCCACACAGCCGCTTTCCTGAGCTCTCGCTGCCTCTATGCCATGAATTATGCCTGTGTTCTCTCACTCACACGTCTTGAATGAGCTGTTGCCACCGAATTCAACGCCATGCCCTTCTGTTCAACGTCCACACGGGTGCAGATGAGTCCTCTCCCATCCATCTTCCTGGACCACATGGCATCTAGAGCACCTGACACATCCACGCCAAGGAGGAGACGATGCCGGCTTTCATACTGTTTATGTTTTTAAAGAACGATTTCTGGGGCCACTTTTGTGGCTTAGCAGGTGGAGCTGTTCCCGGGCTGGTTGTAAATGGCAGGGGCTGGGCCAGGCTAAAGCCACCAGCCAGGAGCTTTGTCTGCGTCTCCCACACGGGTGCAGGGACTTGAGCGCTGGGGCGTCCTCTGCAGCTTTTCCATGCCTGTCAGGAGGGAGCCAGCTCAGAAGTGGACTGCCCACAGGTGATGCTGCTATTACCATGCCACACAATGCCAGTCTGGAGTTACGTCTCATTTTGTACAGTGACTGCTCAACAATTTCATTTTATTTTTAAAGGAAATTCTATGTCTGCTATCAATGTACCACTCATTGAAAATCCTTTAAGACATTCATCTAAAGTGAATGATTCAATGTTTTCAGTATATTCCATAGTACCTATTTCTAAGGTTAAGTGCTATGTTCAATGTAGGAAACATGAAAACTTGCAGAAAAGCTTAGCGGTTCACTACACTTAATGACAACACTAAATTGCTGGTCAGTTTTCCACAATTAGTTTTTCACAGGATTGAGATGTGTATTTACAAGTATGTATTTTAAAGACATATTCTAATGCATGTATTTATATAAGCTATTTCTATTTCAGTTCTACTGTTATATTCTCCTCTCCTTCAGCAGACAATTAAAATGACACTCATCTGAAGTAGAACCATTACTAAAACCCGAGGATACAGGCTGGATGGTTGCATCACTGCAAATTTAAACCCATTTTCCAGCTTAATCTAAAAGTCAGATCTTTGTTGCTAGATTTTAACCACCACGGGGCATTATGTTCTAATTGAATGCAGAACTCGGACCATAGAATAAAGCCGCACAGCCGTCACCACCCTCTGCCCTTCGTTAGAGCTGCAGTGTGTGAGTAAAGAAAAAAATCCATGAGCCTACAGGTTACTGGGTAGGTGATGTTGAGGACTCTTAGCATTTTTTCAGACTATAGAATCGCTGTTGGATTTAGGTACCAAAGTCACACTCTGTTAAAGTGTTAAATTGCGGCTCCTCAGACAGCTATGTCAGCCATTTTCTGTTGTAAGTCTTCATAAAATTTCATTTATGTATTAAATCAATGATTAACCGTGAGAAAATAAACAGAGCAAATATTGACTCTTTCTCTGCATGAGACCACAACGCATTCTTTCCTTTTGTTCACTGGATTCTTCAGACCATACCTGCGGGATTCTGGCTACGGTGAGACAGGCTCTCCTGCATTTTTTTTTTTCTCAGAATAATGAGAAGAAAACTCCCTTCAACCAGAAAAGGAGAACTGCTAGACAACAGTACAGAAAAACTTAACCAAGAAAGTGAAATGGGCTTTAATTCTCTGTAATCCAAACATCAGAGTAATGACGGACCAAGTGTCACAGCAGTTACTCCACACTGGCCACCACACACCTGGCCCTCCACGGACTCGCAGCCCTAAAGGCAGCCTGGATCGCAGAAGCAGGGCAGTGTCAGATTTCACTTTACCGAGTTTTAACTTTCGAATACATAAAAAGGAAGAAATCAGTGGAAAACTATCCTTCCTTATCCCTGTAAGAATTTTTCAAGAATATTCTCCACTCAGTGTGGTTTTCCAGGGCCTCATTCATACAGGGAAGCCACTCATACAAGAAAAAGTCCCTTCCTCAATCCATCCTACTTTTTCTCTGTTGACTGAAAAAAAAAAGTGAAGAAATAACAATTACACTGTTTACAGTAGAACTATTGGGTCAGATTCTTTTAACAGAATTACCAGTTGATGAGAGCGAGCCATTTGTTGCATCATACCAGTCTCAACTTAGGAACAACTCAAAATTTTCCCCCCCACAATGTATCAATATTTTTTAATTATCTCAATTCTGCATTGGCATACCTTTTTACTATAAAAAGAAAGGCCGTCTGTGAATACACACAAAGGTGGAGTTGGGAAGTTGGTACCACACTCATGCATGTTTTCCCAAGGTTTCATAATGAGTCAGTCCACAGTGACAAGCTACGAAAACCAATGAATTGGTTACACAAACAGGTCTCTTCAGAGCAAAACTCCAGCCCAAGGTTCAGGCACTCAAAGAAGGTGCAGCAAAAAATCAAAATATAAGTGATACTGAAACTGTAACTTTTCTCATGTGTGACTTCTCTTGCTGATTTGCCTTGCAAATTCCTCAGACAGAATTTTAGGCCCATTAACACAGCACAACCTACTGTTATTATTGAAAAATCATGAAATCTAAAGAAAAAAAAAGCAACTTCATAAAACCTTGGGAACAGTTACTGTGAAGCTGAAAGTGGACCTTCCAGAAGGGTTCTAAGCAATATAGCATGTTTATGTATAGATGCATGTGATATAAGCTCAAATACAACTCAGTAATAAAAATTTTAAAAATTTTGAGAAAATACAAATTCTTTATGAGTTAAACATCATGGTTCATCAGCTTAAGTCACATAGATTAAAAAAAAGTAAGAAAAAGACCTCTGACTAACCACCTTTTTAGTCTGTCTAATAATTTAAGTTCTTGAAAATGGCAAAAAAAAATTGGATTAATTCATGACAGGACAGTCTCTTTCACAAAGATCTTTATCAGCACATTTGCCTTTGACATTCGCTCGCTCGCTCGGTAACCAAGTGTCTAGGAAAGTTAGCACACCAGCTCTTGCAAAGTTTAGCTCTAATGGCACTGCTGCTGTGAAAGGATACATATCTCCTGCTTTTAGCTACAAACAGGCGTTATGTTACAATTCAAAGCACACCTTTGGGTCTCAACTCCCCCCCTTGGTACTCCAACTTACTGTTTTCATACCCCTTGATTTTTTTTCCCCGTTATCCAAAAACTTTAGCAAACCAGTTATTTTGACTACGCAAAATACCACTGCCTACAAACTCAGCAGAATTTTGATGTCCCTTACCATTATTATATGTACCCTGCAAAAGAGCATCCAACATGTTCCTCCAAGGACTTGGGCACTCTTGCTGTTTAATTGCTGTTTGTTTGTCATTTGTGTCATATGTTCCACGTCTTACTTCATGAGTGTCTCATGACTGGAAACAGGGGCCACACTCCACGTCCTCTAGGTGAGAATGACCCTTCCGAAGCTCGCTGCCAGCCCCTTTGACCCACAAGTTTACATGGAGCCCAGTGTGAAGGAGCCTGGGACCAGCTCAGGGCTGCCCAGGAGTCAGAGAGGCAGAAAGATGATGAAGACAACTGCGCTAGCTGGATACTCCAGTGCTACATTATGTAGAGCACCGCCTGCGGTGAAAACACGCTATGGACGCTGTGACAGCTGGAACTGGCCCCACACTTCCTGGGGTACAATTCAGCACATCACCTTCCAATTCCATCTTTCCACTAACTTTTTGTAGTCTACACACACACACACACACACACACACACACACATTCACATCACATTCAAACTGACCCTATACAAAATTATTCCATCTCACAACAGTGCATTGCAAAAAACCAAACAAACAAAAAAAATCAATTGTCCGACCACTAGCAAACCTTTTGGGCGAGGGGCACTTACTACTCTTCAATTGTGACAGAAACAACCCAGGATAGAAGAAAAGATTAACTTTTCCCCAAACAGCTGTCACCACTTGTTTTTTTTTGAAATGCTGACCGGGCACATCGGACTTTCCCCAGGTCTGCAGGGGGCCGGCAAAGGACACACGCAGCCACGCCAGTGGATCCGAGCTGCAGAAACAACCACGTCCCCGATACATACCAGAAGGCACTAGTCACTTCCACCAGCAGAGAGGAAAAGCCCTGAATTCTAGCAACGACGCGGCCAAATTAGGTAGCACCCTACGCACACTACCTGATCCCTTCAGCCGCATTTGCAGGAGCAGCAGCTTCCCGGGGCGGCCAGGGCAGGGTCAGCAGGAGGGGAGAGGGCTTCCGCTTAGCCACAGAGCCACCTGGGAACCTCACCCTGAGCTACAGGGGTCGGGGGGCCTGGGGAACACAGCGGACTTGGGGAGCTGGGCAGAGCAGGGTGTCCCACACTGGCACTTAGCCACGCAGGTGGGGGCGGCCGAGGGTGGGCAGGGCACAAGGGCACACCAGGACCAGAGCAGGTGGGTGGAGGTCGGGGGAGGGTTTGACAGCCATGCAGACACCAAACAGCACAGGGAAAGAGCTGGTGACCATAGGATAGCTGACTTAGACCGGGTGCGCGAGGGCTATAGGGTACAGACTGTGCAGACCCCTGACCTGGAGTCAGGGAACCGAGAGGTGTGGACTCGAATGAGCAGCGCCGGGGACCGGGCAGTGCAGAACCCGTAACTCGGATTGAGTTTGGGGGGGTAAGGATCTGGGCGGTGACTTGGGCCGGGGATCTGGGTAGGGGTTGGGGTCCGGACTGGCCTTGGGCCGGTGTCTGGAGCTCCGGGTCCCGATGACTCTGACCGGGGCTGGACCGGGGCGGGGCCCGCGCGACACTCACCCAGGCCGGCAGGTCGCAGGCGCGCACCCCCAGGCGCACAGCACGCTCCTCGTCCTCCAGCAGCGCCAGCGCTCGGCACAGGCGGCTCGCCTTGAGGCCGCGGCTCCGGCGGCACCACGCCAGCAGCCCCAGCGCCAGCAGCACCCAGCTGAAGCTCAGCCCCAGGTAGCCGAGCGCGTACACCGGCAGCAGCAGCGCGAAACTGCGCGCCAGCTGCGCCAGCAGCCCCGGCACGTCCACGCTCAGGGCGCCTCCGGGAGGCTCGGCCGCCGGCCGCTCCCCGGCCCGGCCCGCGCCGGCCTCCGGGCTCTCGTCCTGGGCGCCGCTCATCGCCGAGCCGAGCCGCGCTGCCCTCCCCGGGCCGAGGCGCGCGGGTCCCCAGCCAGCTCCGCCTCGCGCGCCACCAGCGCCCCTGTGCAGGGGGACGGCCCGGCGCCGTGGCTCCACGCCGGCCAGCCCGCCCGGCGCTGGTGGGCGGGACGCGGCGTCATCACGCCGGACGGGCGGGCCAGGCGTGGGCACGGCGCGGGGCCTCACACGAGCGGGCGGGCCGGCGTGTGCCGTCATGGCGCGGAAGGAAAAGGGCGGGCTCCGCGAGTGGGAGTGCCCTTCCTGCCGCAGCGTCGGCGGGTGTGGCACCTATGGGCCCGGGAGCGCAGGGGTGTGACAGCCCCGCGAGGGAGGGATTCCTGTGGTGTGCAGGGAGCCCCTGGGTGTGCGGGCCCAGCCAAGGCCTATCCTTTGCAGAGGATGAAAAACACTAGGAAACATTCCCAGGGTATTCTGGTTGGTGCCAAGAAGTTAATCATTTCAGTTGGAGCAGTAAAGTGTCTTCTGTTTTGAAAATCGCTCAAGGTGGTTTAGAGGCGAAAACCACAACTGGATAGGGTCCCTGCTGGGTGTAATAAATAAGTTATTTAATGAAATACAAGAATCCGGTTTGCGGGGCAGCTGAGGGTCAAGCCAGCGATGTGTGACTGCTTTGCGGTGCTGTGCTTCGGAGTGTGGGACTAAACTCTAAGTTTACATTTTGCCTGTGACTCTGAGACCGTTTGCACATTAACTCCCAAGAACACACTTCTAGATCATTTTATTTTTCCAATCAATCCAGCCAAGGCAGTTGTATGAACAGCCTCTTTCTTTGAGCATATTTCGTAAATTCCAAGGACGTTTGGGGACAACCCGGAACAAGACAGACCAGGGGAGTTATTGAATAAAGCAGACGCAGGCCCCTTGTGTGCCTTCATCATTGCATTTGCATGGGCGTGTGTGGAAACATAGATCTCAGCACATGTACTATTGCAAATCTCACTATAGCGTCTACTACACCAAACAAGCACAGGAAACCTCGAGAGGAGGAAGTGGCTTTTCTGTTGGTTTGCCACAGTAACAAGTCATGTAAATTCTTCGTACGTAAAATGGAATCAGCTCCTTTCCCTCTGCAACAGGTTCATTTGAGATTGAGTTTTTCAGATACTAAAGCCAGTCATGGCTGTCCTGCAGGAAGGAGCGCGAGATTTCTGTTACGTGCGGCCATGGCTTTGGAGTAGAATCCTGTCCTAGAATGCCACGTTCAAAATCCCGTATTGTCCACTCATGTATTTGACCCAGGGATCCAGAATGGATTGAAGTAAAAATGAACATTGTGAGCTGGTCAGCCCCTGCCTTGCAGCTCCCCACTGGGCTCGTGGAGCCTTCCACGTCTGGCCTGTTAAGCCTCCTTGTTCGCCTCCCTCTGTCCTCTCCCTGTGTGCAGGCACTGCTTTCCCAGAGGAGGCAGTGCCATGAGCATTGCTGTGCGGGACTGTGAACTCTCAACCTTTCTAGTTTCCGAGAAAAGTGCCTCTTTGCTGCCCAACTCGAGTCCTTTTCGCTTTGAGAGAGATCCTCTTTCCCTGTCACCATGCTGCATGGTAGGCACACACTCTACTCTTCCCTGTAGGAGACCAACCAAGACTGCTGGAGCCACGTGGGAGCCCAGAAGATGATAGCCCTGAGTGAGGGCCTCGGGAGCAAGGTTTGACTTTGTCTTCCTTTTCTCGCCCTCAAGGCGATCAAGAAAAGTAACTTTCTTCCCAGAAGCAGGTCACAGAAAGAAAAGTCCCCTTTCTCCGAAGCAAGCCATAAAACCTAACTATGTTTGTCTTCTCCTACCTTTCTGCCTTTCAGCCGGCCATAAACAAATTTCTCTGACACACCTTGACTGTGACAGTACATCATAAAACCCAGGTATCCGGAGTCCTGCCCCTTGGCTGGGAGAAAGGAATGCTGCATGCAGAGAGGTAAAGAATCTGGACAGACAGGCCTTCCTGGGTTTGCCCACTCCACTAGCTCCGGATCATGCCCTTTTTGTTTAGTTGTGTTTCTGTATAGCTGTCTCTGCTTCCTCAAACCCAAGCATAAAAAGGGATAGTTCATGCTGGGTCTTTCTTTATTCTGTCATGTAACACGATGATCGAATACACTTGCTATGCTTTTCTCTTGTGAACTTGTCTTTTGGCACACGGGGTTGACCCTTTATGATGGTCAGGAAAGAGATCACCCCTTTTCCCACCCATACACCCCTAACCAGCAAGACTCCTTTTTCTGCATTTCTAGGCCTTTTCCTTTTGTGACACAAACATTTCTATAGTAAACACTGTTTGCCTGAACTCTCCTGAATGGGTCCTTGCCCTGCAAGCAGAAAGAGAGAGAGAGAAAGCGAGAGAGAAAGAGAGAGAGAAGAGAGAAAGATCTTCCTTTTGGTGGTTCACACACCAAATGGCTGCAACAGTCAGGGCTGGGCCAGGCCAAAGGTAAGCCCGTGAACTCCATCCTAACCTCCCACATAGATGACAGGAGCAGTGTTCATGTCCCAGGTGCCTTACCTGGGAATTGGGTTAGAAGCAGTCAAGACTTCAGTCAACAGTCTGTGGAATGTCTGCATGTCTGCTTCAGCCACAATACCCACCCCTTGGTCCTTTCTTTCTTGGCCAGATTAATATAAACATCCTTATTTGTTTATATAAAAGTTGTAGTACCAGAGGGGGACACAGAGAGAGAATCGGGGGAGAGAGAGAGTGATACCCCATGGGCTGATTCACTCCTCAAGTGACAGCAGAGGTCAGGGCTGAGCTGGGCCACAGCCAGGAGCCAGAGCCAGAGCCAGGAGCCAGGAGCCAGGAGCCAGGAGCCAGAAGCCAGGAACTTTATTGGGTTTCTTGTGCAGTGGTAGAGGCCGAAACTGTTGCAGCCATGTGGCAATGAACTAGCAGATGGAAGATCTCTCTCCATTTCTTTTTTCCGCTGTAATTCTGCCTTTGGAGAATACGTGTGTGTGTGTGTGTGTGTGTGTGTGTGTGTGTTCTAAAGTGTGAAGTCGAGACTCCATCCAGGTACTCTGATATTTGGGTGTGCCACATGGGGTCTTAAGCACTGTGCCAGTGCTTGCTCCTTGCACATATGTTCATCATCCCTACGCGTCTTTCACTCAGGTAATGACCTCTAATAACAATCATAAAATTGGTAACTAACAGTTACTGTGTGCTTAGCCTGTGCTAGGTACTTTACATCGTGACTCAGTGAATCCTCACAGTTCCTCCTCAGGGGGATTCTCCTTTTTTACAGAAGAAATTGAAGCATACGGTACTGAGGTTCCCAGAGCTCCAGAAAAGTGAGCAGGGAAAGCCTGCTCAAGCTCTCCAGTTGATAATTCACTTAGATATAATTGTAAATATTATATGAAATAGGATATGGGAGAATAACAGGTAGATTTGATATGGACCGTGAATAAGGGAAAGATTTAGTAATGGAAATAGTGCTGGACCAACCATCAAAAACTGAGTGTGAATTAGCAAAGAAAGTGGACTGGGAAGAGGGAATACTTATTGCAGGCAGGCAGTAGGCTTGCATGAACACTGCATGGCTCAGTACCACTTGGTACTTCTTCAGGAACCATAGACAGATCTACCAACTAGGGCAGAGGAAATGTGCCACAGGGATTGTGCGGGTTGCAGCCTCCAAATTCTCTTCTATTCCTCCTCTGCCAGTTCATTTGGCAACATAAAACTATAGCATCCGTCCCCTCTTTGTCTTCTTAAAGTTTTATTTAAGTATGTATTTAAAAGAAAGGGAGAGAGAGAGATTGAGAGACAGAGAGATATCTTTCATTTGTTGGTTCACTCCCCAAATGACAGCAATAGCTAGAGCTGGTCTCAAGCCTGGAGCCCAGTACTCCATTAAGGTTTTCCAAGTGGACGGCAGGGACCCATCTTAGCCCCCACCTCCTTTTTGTTAAGTGGTTTCCCCAGGTTCATTAGCAGGAAGCTGGACCAAAAGTGGAGCAGCTGGGACTTCTATCAGTTCTCCAAAATGGGATGCAGGCATGCTGAGCAGTCACTTCACCTGCTTCTTGGCAATTGTTGTCATGTGACTATTGCAGCAGAGCCAACTGTTTGGCAAAGCAGTTAAGATGCTGGCTGAAATATTTACGTCTCATATTGGAGTGCCTGGACTTGAATGCCTTGCTCAGGTTCTTGATTACAGCTTTCCACCAGTATGGAATCTGGGAGATGGCAGGTAATGGCTCAAGTAGCTGGGTCCCTGTCAAATGTGGGAGACTCAGGTTTCAGCTCTTGGTTCCGAGTAGTTGACCTTTGGCCCAGCCCTAGCTATTGTGGGAATTTAGGGGATGAATCAGTGGATAGGAGCTTTTGGTATCTTTTTGGTAGCTTTTTGGTATCTTAGGAGCTATATTGTGGTCTGATGCTTTAAAAGCCATGGATAGGGCCCGGCGCGGTGGCGCAAGTGGTTTAGGTCCTCGCCTTGCACCCCCGGGATCCCATATGGGCGCCGGTTCTGTCCCAGCAGCCCTGCTTCCCTTCCAGCTCCCTGCCTGTGGCCCGGAAAAGCAGTCGAGGATGGCCCAAAGCTTTGGGACCCTGCACCCGCGTGGGAGACCCGGAAGAGGCTCCTGGCTTCGGATCGGCATAGCATCGGCCGTTGTGCTCACTTGGGGAGTGAATCATTGGACAGAAGATCTTCCTCTCTGTCTCTCCTCTCTGTATATCTGCCTTTCCAATAAAAATAATAAAAATAAATCTTAAAAAAAAAAGCCATGGATAAATTGATGCTATACTTGACTTTTCTTGGTGTGTGTATTTGAATTTTTCCATATAATTGACTGTTTCCTGTCCTGTTACTATTTGCAAGTCATGAATCTTCCTACTCAAGGTACTGATTTTCTTGTTTTGCATTCTGCTGCGACATGGCATTCATGGATAACCTCGAATGTCTGCTCACGTACCTTTTCATTAGGTTTGACTTCAGCTTATCTAAACAGGTTTCCCATAAGATGAAGTCATATTCCAATAAATTTTTCTTTATCTTTTGGTAATTAGCCTAGAAAAGAAACAATTGCTGCTTTGTCAAGATAATTTCTTGTCAAGTACCCCTGGAAAAAATATGTATG